GTTTTTAAGCTTTGCTAGGGCAGGACCAAAGGAATCTTATCCTAAGGCATAATAACCTCTCTAGTGACTCCAGTGAATGAACCAAGTGACGAATAAAGACATTACAGTCTGGATGGCTGAAGCTTAAATATATTCCTGATCTGTTTAAACTCTGGCAATTGTTCAGCTTAAAATTCCCCAGTCATATTGCCCATTTAGGAAATTATTTTCACAGCTACATAGTCTAATGTTCAAAAGGTTCAAGAGAACCTCATAAAGACAGTGTTCTCCATTCAAAACAAAGCATCCAATCCAGCTGATTTTAGTGAAATGGCTCAATATTACAACACCCAGGCAGAAAAGTTCCTTTGTTTATCTACAAAGTTGATATCTCTTCACTACCACAGGAAATTCAGAAAGAATCCATGGCAATAATTTAATAGCTTTTCCCTTGTACATACATACTCGTGTGGTTTAGAGAAAAGGCAAAAACAACATTAATGAACTTTTAACAGGCATTTACAGGAATTTCTTAAGATGTTTTATGGATATTATAAAATTGATTTCATAACTGTGGAAAATTTACATTTGGTTTTCTTCTATGACAGAATAGCCGATTTTATAGTTATTTTTTGCTTACTTGGGACTGAACCCAGGGATGCTCTGCCACTAAGCTACATCCCCAGCTCTTTTTTTTTTTTCACTTTGAGACAGGGTCTTACTAAGTTGCTTAGGACCAAGTTGCACAGGCTAGCCTGGAACTTGTGATCCTCATGCCTCAGCCTCCCCAGTCACTAGGATTAAAGATGTGTGCCATAATTTTGCAACATTTTATAAAAAAAAAAAAACTTTTTATGTTTAACATGCCACAAATGAGAATTCAAGATGTTCACAGATCTTGACTACTACCCTTCATTTTCAATTTGAGATGATAATATATTACACTTTATGCACTGATTTGTTTTATATTAAAGTATAAATAAAAACTATCCTAGAATCAAAATGAAAAATAGAACTAGAAACAAGTGTGTCGGTTCCTCAACTCAGTAACTCATTAATGAAAAAAATGATTGACAAGGAATCTTATAACTACTCTTGTAACTCTGAAAAAACAGAAAGAAAAAAGTGTTTCTTCCTTGGAATGGGATGGTAGCTCAGTGGTAGAGCACTTGCTTGGCATGGTGAGGCCCTGGGTTCAATCCTCAGCACCTCATATAAATAAATAAAACAAAAAGATCTATTGAAAACTAAAAAAAAAATTTAAAAAGGTGTTTCTTCCTAAATATTACTTCATGTCCTCCCCCCAATTTCTCAAACTCTTCACTACCATGTGGCAGATACCAGTCAACAACACACAAGCCTGATTTTACATGTTTATATGAACAGTATTCAGAGGCCTGTCTCAGATACTTCTCCCAGGGCTAAGAATATATAGCTCAGAAGTAGAGTACATGCTTATAAAATGCACAAGGCCCTGGGTTCAATTCCTAGTATTTGAAAAAAAAAAAATCAGATACTACTCCTACTGGGGGTGTGTGTGTGTGTGTGTGTGTGTGTGTGTGTGGTATAGCTTCTAAAAAGCATATACTTAGTGTAAATTTATCAACAGTTCTTATACTGCTTTTCTTTTTTTGCTAGGGATCAAACACAGGGCCTAGTATATGCTAGGTAAGCACTCTACCACTGAGCTACACCCCTAGGTCTCTAATACTGTTAAGTACAATTTTCCTAATATATTTGCTTCACTAAAAACCAATGACTTAAGATTTGTTCCCTAGGACTGAAAATTTTAAAAAGGAAAAAAATAGTTTTATAAAAATATGCCTCTCAACAGATGTCAAACACAACAAACAGAAAGGATTACAATGTGTTTCCAATGGCTGCTCTAACAGAGAGCAACTTTATGCTTTATCTCCCAATATGAAGCAATATAAAGCAAAAACATTACCTACAACATATTCTTGCTAAAAAATGGAAACTCTAAATCAAGTATTTCCACCTAACTTTCAATTTATAAGAAATTTACACAACAAAGGATGGAATTAAATGACAGATACAGAGAAACAACCAAATAAAAAACTGGTCTGTACTCATCCATAAGTCACGTCTCAACACTCTACTAAACAATTTATCTTTTCACCACTAATTTGTGTGTTAGAATGACCTTCATTCCCACTAAATAATCTAACAAGTGAAAGGTAAAAAGTACTTAAGAAACAGCAAAGGAGAAAAAAAGCAGGCACATACAGGAGAAGTATAAGAGCTTAATTCAAGAAGGGTTATGAATAAATGCAGTTATTATCAAATTCCTGCACACTATGTCATATTTACTAAAAGATACAGTATGTAAATGATAAATGAAAACTAAGTATTATTTTTAAATGTATATTCCCTCAAAACTGTTTGGGAAATGCCTGACTTTACATAACATCATAAGGAAAAGTTTTCAGAGATTAAACCATCTTCTACTAACCAATAAATTGGATTACATTTCACTTAGAATTTACTTCTATTTATATAGAACAAAAGAATGATAGTAAAGCAGACATTATAAGCATCCTGAAGACAATTTTTACAAACTTTCATTTCCTCCAGAAAATGGTAATGTTTATATCACTTTGAAATATCTTCTTTTTTCAGTGTAACACCTAAAAGTTTTTTACTGTTGTTGTTGTAGGGTGTTTTTGTTTTGTTTTCTTTTGTTTTGGACACAGTCACATCAATGTTTATAGCAGCTCAATTCACAATAGCCTAGCTATGTTACCAACCTAGGTGTCTTTTGAGAGATGAATGGATAAAGAAAATGTGGTACATATAAACAATGGAATATTACTTACTCATAAAAATAATGAAATTATGGCATTTGCCAGTAAATGAATGGTACTTAAGACTATCATACTAAGTGAAGTAAGCCAGTCCCAGAAAACCAAGGGCAGAATCTGCTTTCTGATATGTGGATGCTAACCCACAACAAGGGAGGGTGGGGAGGAGAAGAATAGAAGTCCAATGGATTAGAAAAAGGGGAATAAAGAGAAGGGAGCAGGTAAGAGAACAGGAGTGACAGTAGAATTAATCAGATATAACTTTCCTATCTTTGTATTTGAATACACAACCAGGGTAATTTCACATCATGTATAACCACAAGAATAGGATCCTAATTAGAATAAGTTATACTTCATGTATGTATAATATGCCAAAATACATTCTACTATCATGTGTATCTTAAAAAAACAAATAAAGTAAGATTTTTTAAAAAAAATAAAAAAGGTTTAAACATTGTATTGTCATGTGCAACTAATAAAAGAATGAAAAAAAAACATGAATTTACAGAATTTGTAACTCTCTGTTCTATTACTGACAACAAAACAGCCTGGGAGTGAAACAAACTGCACCATAAGAAAATTTCCAAAACCTACCTTTTATTTTCAGCCAAATTCGCTCCTTCATCCTTCAGCTGTTTACTTTTCTCAGTACAGCCTTCAAGGAGAATTTCTTTCCTACGTTTAATGGCATGAAGCCAGTTTCCTTCATCATTCTCAACTACATCTTTCTCATCAGCAGCTTCAGCTTCAAATTGCTGTGAAGTGGCCTTGGAGACCTTCTCACCAATTTTCCTCTTCCACCCAAAGGAAGCCATGCTAGAAAATTACAAAGAAAAATTATGAAATTCGACCTTAGCCTTTTATAAAAATATTCCAACTAACAGGTGAATAAAGAGTAGCAGGCTTAGACTATCACCATTTTTCAATTCTCAATTAGTAGATCTGGGCAATGATCATCAAGGGCTGCTAACATCACCAAGAAAGACAACTGGACATTACACATTACTGCAACTCTTAATGGAAGCAGCACACCATCCAGAAAGCTGGTCTGCAAAAACTAATCCTCAATCACATCAGTCCTCTAAGAAAGTTTATGAAAACATATGGATACAGTTAAGCATACTGAATAACACATCAGAGACACAGGCAGCAGAAAACAGAAACTCAAGAGAAGCAAAACTGGTTTCTTAGCCGGGTGCAGTGGCACATACAGTGGTGCATACCTGTAATCCCCCAGGTTCAGGAGGCTGAGGCAGAAGGATCTCGAGTTTAAAGCCAGCCTCAGCAACAAAGAGGTGCTGAGCAACTCAGTGAGACCCTGTCTCTAAATAAAATACAAAATAAGGCTTGGGATATGGCTCAGTGGTTGCGTGTCCCTGAGTTCAACCCCCAGTGTCCCCCTGCCCAAAAAAACTGGTTTCTTCAAGACATTAACTGCCAGAAAGATGAAGGAAGGCAGTAACCCCTAGCTTGAGAAATTTAAAAGACATATATAATGTGTACATTTTGTTCTACTCCTGGTTCAAAAAAGCCAAGAGTTAAAAAAAAAACCCTCTTATGACAAAAAAGAGAAAAAAATTGATTTGATATTTAACAACATTAAAAAATTACTGCTATATTTTAGGTATGATAACAGTATTATGATCATATTTATAAAAAGAACCCTTGTCTTTTATAAATTACAGAAATATTTCATATAAAATTATACAATATCTAAAAATTGTTTCAAAGTAATCATTGGGGTGCAGAGTTCAGTAGAGAGGAAGATATCAATGAAATAAGACTGCTTTGAATTAATAACTAATGAAGCTGAGTGATAAGTACATAGGAGTACTTTTCTCTCTCCTTTCACATATATCAAAATTTTTTAAAACAAATATAGTTTAAAAGATATAAGCTTATAAATGACTTAACTCACAGAACTATTGGGCAAATCAAAAAAATAAGAGAAGTTAAACTGCTTTTGTAAATCTGCAATAATACAAATGTAAGGGATATGAAAGCAAAACTAAAGAACAAAGTTAAAGAAAATACTAGATGCATTCAATGAGTATTTGTTTAAATAGGGGATTAATAAGGGATCCCACAATTTACTAGTTGCACAGATGGACTTCAAGATACTGAAGAATCCTTTGGATTGTATATAAATTTTTTATACAACATGCACTGGGGAAGAGTATGTAAGCTTTCATTCCATTTATACAGAAGTTTATAACCCCAAGGAGATTAGGTGAACTGATTGACCAAATAGAGGGACAGGGGGAAAAAATGCACCAAGTGCTCTTTGAATTGATTAAACAAGTCAGGAGCAGTGGCACATGCCTGCTTAGGAGGACTGACGCAGAAGGATTGTAAGTTTGAGGCCAGTCTAAACAATTTAGCAAAACTCTGCCTCAAAACTGAGAATTTTTTTAAAAGGACTCAGACATCATTCAGTGGTAGAGTCCTTTAATAGCATACAAAAAGTCCTAGCTTTGATTCCCAGTATCACAAAAAAATTAAATAATAAAATAGGATCAAGGAATAGGCATTTTAAGAGTAAAGGAAGGAAAGAAATGAAACAATAAACAAGTAAGTTCTAGCAGACAGATGTGAAGATCTTTAACCTTGCCACACTTGGGTGAAGTGAAAGTAATCACTAAAGGAAGGGAAAAAAAGATGAGCATAGCTGTGAGATCATTCACACGGAAAAGCCCTAAATAATAGCAGTTGAAGGGGTAAGAAAATTGTGGGTCCTGGGACTAAGTTCTATTGAATATGAGAAAGCGCCAATGAAATGCACAAGCTGATATAAGTGAAACACATTTTACATAGGAACACAGATTTTTAGAAAAACCTGGAGAAGTGATGGATTATAAATCATGCTAGGACAATGTAAACTTTTCCCCATATCCATCACAACATGGGAGAATGAGTTTTCGATGTCTGAACATGAATATACATATTCTAAAGAAAGAACGAAGAAATGGCTGAATACAGAAGTGTGGTTAGTATGGGTCAAAAGTCCAGAGGCACAGAGAAGAAAACCTGAGGGAATGGATTCTTAGGAGGGCCTCACAAGATATGAAAAAGGCAAGATAAAAAAGAAGTCATACATTTATGACTGTCCGAAAAGTAACAAGGATGATGATTAAGTTTTCCAGTTTCAAGTTTCCACACAGAGCTCTGTTTCTATATTAGTAATGTAGAGCACCAGGCAGTGTAATAGCTCTACTAATAGTAACAGAAACCTGGCATGCTTACTTCGGGCAAATTACCTTAAAAATCACTGGTTACATCTGTTGATTATTAGGAGGAGGGGATATGATAGGGAGGAAAGGAAAAAGGTAAATCCACAGTGACTGTTTCAGATATTTTTCCAAATTTTTGGATCAATCGGACTTCCATTACCATTCCTATCTTCTAACCCAAACCACCGTTATCATACTGAGGACACAATTCTCAATTGTGTATGAAAAAGCCACACCTTGTTTCCTCAAATGTTTGTCACTCTTCCCCACAAATTCCTCAAAGTCAAAGGCTGGAGAGGTCAGGACAGAATAAAGCTCTAAAATTATAGGAGGGCTGAAGACACAAGAAATTGACAAGATTCACCTTGAAGAGAGGAACAAGAAAACATATCTTGCAAAAGAGAAGCTAATACTGAGTGAAACCTATAGGACAGTTCAGAGATGGAGGAAAAAGAAAAAGAATTTCATGTTCCCCACGAGTCATTTTTCTCACGGAAATGGGAGACAGTCATTTGCTCAAAGTAGAGTAAAAATAAATGGATCTAAGTCTTGAGAAAAAATGAGAAGATCTGAAGTAGTCACTATGGGGATTAGGAAAGATACAACAATAAGGAATAAGTAAAAACACCGAACAGTATCAAGGGCCTAGAGGATAAAAGCATGAATCTTTTATTCATTCAAAGCCACCACCACAGTTTTATATTTTCTTCAAAAATGTCTTGAAACAATGAAAGTATAACCAAAAGTAATCAAAGGATGTCATGATATTTGAAAATGGACACTTGAGTATTTATAGAGAACTTTATGTTTTAAAAGATAAAAGTTAACCAGGCTTAAAAAGAGGAGTGAGTTCCTGGAATATGTGAAATACCTTCCCCAAGGAAAATTGAACACTTCGATTTGATTTGGATATCTTAAGTGCTGCTGGGGGGAGATGATGGGAAAGGCCTATTAATGATTTTAGAATTTCCATTTTATGTGATTAAAATGTTCTATAATTGGTGACACAACTAAGAACCATACTAAGAACCATATATCCTTGAAATGGGTGAACTGCATGAGACATCAGTTTTACCTCAATAAAGCTGTTCTTTAAAGATAAATAGTAGGAAATTATCGTTTCTTTAAGGTTATCTGAACATAAAATTGTAACTTACAAAAGGAGGTTTTCCTAAATCTATAGCTAGATATACAAGGTACCAACAGCCTAGCCTTAACATTTTTTTTCACCAGGATAAGAAACCATATGAATAAGTCACAATCATACAGGTTTCATGGTAAACTCATGAAACCCGAAAAACTCAAAAAACATTTTATATAGAACTATAGTTGATGAGTGCCATAAAAATTCTAAATAATGACGCTGTATTCTGATCTCTTTCACCAGCCGTGACCCGTGTAGTAGGCGCTCAGTAAGTTGGCAGCTTTACATCTTGCTCAACCAGGAGAAGGGGAAAGCCTGTGGGTGGGTAAAATGTCATTCCTGACCCGGTCCGAGGACGCGGGACTCAGGGCAAAAAAAACACTGTGTGGACCCAGGAAGTCGCCGCCGCATCCTTCCGGGTGGAGACGTCTTCAGAGGTGAGGAACCCAGAGAAGGAGTTATCCGAGAATGCTACTTCAAGAGAGAGCTGAATCGGCGACTTTTCCTTCATGAACCCCGCCCCGGCCCTCGCCGCCAGTTGGCCGGAGCCGCCACGGGCCCCCGACCTCGGCTCGGCCGAGAGTGGGCGCCGCTTGCTCCCGGCCGCGGGAAGGTCCACGTCGCCGGCCGCCGCGCCCGCGCGCAACAGCCCAGGCGGCGGTGAGGCAGGGCCGACACTCCCGCCTGGCCCTGCCACCCCTCTAACGGGACCCCCTCTTGACTCCTGAAGGCCCCTTCTCCCCAACCACAACACCCACTCGCCTCGTCTTCATCCTCTTGCCCCGGCTTCCCCGCCAACCTCTAGCCCCAATTACCTGATAACCACTGCCGCGGCCCCGTGTTTACATTCCGCTTGCCCTTTGCCACAGGAAGCGGAAACTAAAACGCCAGACTCCTTACCTGCCTACTTTTGCTCTCTAACCTACGAAGAAAAGGGTTGAGAAGCCTCAGAGAGGTCCGAGTAGTTTAAAGAGGTTGGCAGAGAAATGACGACTATCGGGGTCTTTCTCCGCCTCAGACGCCTTCTCCCGGACTACAAATCCCAGAAGCCACTGCAGCGGGATCTGCAATGCCTTCTGGGACTTGTAGTCGGAACCAGCGAGCCGGTGACCCCAGCAAGAGGGCAGGAAAACATCACAGTGAAGCCAAAAAGGATACCAGGTTGTACCCAAGGCACAACTATTAGGCAAGTAAAGCAAGGTGCTGTAACGCGCTTTACAACCTAACTGATGAGGTCAGCCACCGCAGAGAGCAAAGAAAAAAAAAAATAAAGATTCAAGGGATTGATCATGGCTTACCTGTAGGCTTCATGTGGGAATTAACAAATAAATTGGACTCAGAATAGAGAATACATGAAAGTATCTGTGAATCATGTCTAGAAAATAAGAGGGCAATTCACTGCTAGATAGCTAAAGAAAATTATAGTGTGTGTGTGTGTGTGTGTATGTGTGTGTGTGTGTGCATATATATATATTTTTCCAGTCCTTAAAAAATTTTTTTTAAAAAAAAGAAGAAGGAGGAAATCCTGCCATCAGAAACAACATGGATTAACTTGGAGGATATTATGTTAGGTGAAATAAGCCAGGCACAGAAAGACAAATACTGCGAATCTCGTGTGTGGCGTCTTAAAAAGTCAGACTCAGAAACAGGGTAGAACAGAGTCAACAGGAGCTGGGGACTGAGGATAATGGGTGGATGTTGATCAAAGGATTCAAGTTTGCAGTTCTGCAGACCTATGGTACAGCATGGTGACTATAGTTATTAAGACTGTAATATGTGGGCTGGGGTTGTGGCTCAGTGGTAGAGCACTTGCCTTGCATGTGTGAGGCACTGGGTTGGATCCTCAGCAACACATAAAAATAAATAAAATAAAGACCCATCAACAACTAAAAAAAACTATTAAGACTAATGTGTACACACACTCAGGTAACCATGTGAAGTGATGGGTATATTATAAGCTGGATTGTGTTGATCATTTCAAAATGTATATCAAAATATCACCGTGGGGGCTAGGGTTGTGGCTCAGTGGTGGAGTGCTTGCCTAGCATGTGTGGGTCACTGGGTTCGATTCTATATATATATTTTTTTTTCAACAACTACTAAAAATTTTTAAAAATCACCTTGTCCACCTTAAATATATGTGTAATTTTATCTGTCAATAATATCCCAATGAAGCTGACAATTTAAAAACTCAAATGGTTGAGGAGGTAAATTTGCAAATATGAGTTGGTAAATTGCTGAATGTAAATGTACTTCAGAAGCTTTACAGAGAAACAGATTATGCTACAATGTGCCTTTATGTTCTCCTTGGATTCAAATCAAACCATATGAATATATATATATATATGAAGGAAAATGAGAGGGCAAATGTGAAACAGTTGTTCAGGAAATTGAAAAATGATGACTGTTAGTTTATATTATACAAAGGAAGACCCATTTCTGGAAACCAGACCTTCTCAACCTCAGAACTACATATTAACATTTAGAACTAGATCATTCTTTGTTAAGGAAAGGGCCTCCTGTGCATTTGTTAAGGAAAGGGCCTCCTGAGTGTTTTTGCAGCATCCCTGGTTTCTCTCCACCATTATATTTAATATTCACCACCATCATTACCAATGATGACAACCAAAACTTTTCCCCAGAGAATATCAAATATCCCCAGAAGAAAAATTCTTCCAGAAACTCACTTATTGAGGATTTCTGATGTAAACCAATGATTCCTGAAAAGTGATCCTCAATCCCCTAAGAGTCACAAGACCTTTTCAAAGCCAAAACCATTTTCATACTCATGAAGACATCATTTGCCCTTTTCACAATGCTGACATTTGAACTGATGCTTAAAAAGGAATAGGGAGCAAAATTGCTGGCACCTCAGAATGAATTAAGGTAAATTATAGGGAACTCTACTGGTTGTCATATTCTTCCACCACACACTTGTGGTAAGAAAAATAAGTGCCATCACTCAAAAATATTCTTGACAAAGCAGTAGAAATTATTGTGTTAAAATGATCCTTGATTGTATGTTTTCTCTCATGTGGAAGCCAGAGAGGGAAAGGGAAAAGAAAGGTGATGAATTATAAGAGATTAAAGTAGAGAAAAGGGACCAGGAGGTGGGAAGGAGTGGGAGAAGTGCTGGACAGTGATATTGACTAAATTGTTGTTATATTGTGCATATATGAATATGTAACAAATCCCACCAATATGTACAACTATGATGCACCAATAAAAAACGTGGGAAGAGAAAAGTAAATAAAATGATTCCTGAGTCCATTTTTGTTCTGGGGGGATTTAGGGGGAGTACTGGGGATTGAACTCAGAGGCACTCAACCCTTGAGACACATTCCCAGCCCTCTTTTGTATTTTATTTAGTGACAAAGTCTCACTGAGTTGCTTAATATCTTGTTGCTGAGGCTGGCTTTGAATTTGAGATCCTCCTGTCCCAGCCTCCTGAGCCGCTGGGATTATAGGCATGTGTGCCACCGCACCCAGCAAATATATTTTTTAATATTCTGTGACAAAATGGGAAGTCTTCATAAAGTACTTCTGCTGTATACTAAAGTATGATGTCTCAAGAAAAGCATTTGTGAGACTGCGCTATAAATTGAAGTAGATACTTTGTCGTGGAACACAACTTTTATTTGGAAGCATTCACAAGCTTATTAGACTTGTGTTTGACAAACCATTCCTTGAAAATAAGAAAAAGGAGAATGTTACTTCAAGAGAAACAATTGACAGTGTTTACTACCAATGACAAAATTCAAGATTGTAAGCAAAAATTAGGGGTTTTGGAAAAAAAACACTGTACTCACCACCGTGATCTTGACAGTTTCTGAATACTTCCAGACTTATTTAATGGGATCAGTAGTAGTGATGTTATCAGATATGACTATTTAGTTTGATTAAATGCATCATTTGTAAGAGCTGCTTAAGTAATATTTTCAAAATGACCAATGCATGATTTTGGTAGCTAGCCTCCAGTGAACCCCACTCCTAACATTCACACCTTTGTGAAGCTCCTTCCCACTTGGACCAGGGCGTGTGCCACCCACAGAACAGGGCATAAATAATAACATATGGCTTCTCTTACACTCAGGTGGCAGCAGTATTTCTTAATCTGAGCAAAGGGTGACAGGGCAAGTTCACTGCAAACCTTGAAAATTCATTTAGTCCAATATTTATGATTTGTGCCCTTTTATATAGGTTAGAATCTATTAAAACATTTAAATATATGTAATCTCCCCAACAAGATGCTCAGAGCAGGATGTCTTGTGGTCACATTTGTAGTGCTTGATTCATCTCGGCCACAGTTTACCGAGGGAAATGGAAATGGTGCTTGAGGCTGTGCTCCTTTTCTAGGGTTTCCTACATCCCTCAGGTAATTTAATCTTGATCCCCTCTAGTCTGACAAAGGCTTCCTCCCACAAAGTATTTACAATCGCCCATCATTTCTGTTCTTTCTTTGGTCTATGATCTTTATTAACCTTTTGATCTATTTACCACATTTTCTGAACTCTTTTTAGAGACAAACATAAACATCTTCCAAGTTGCTAAAAAATTATCTAAATTTATCACTTAGCATTTATTGGCATTTATAATAAACAGTTCAGTAGATATTAATTTTCAAACACAATCTTTCCTGGTATAAATTTGTACAGAGTAAATACAAAGAGCAATAATTCCCCTAAAAGAACCTATATGCTATTCATAATGTTCTTTAATAATGTTCTTTAACATTGTTTTCTCTTGTTTTAAGAATTTAGAATGCCTACAATCTAGCTAAAGCCCTGCATAACAATGCAGGATGAATTGTATGGATACAAGATTTAGTACTAACTGAATTCTAACAGTAATGGGCCCAAATCCAACGTTAGCTACTGATAAATGAAGCTGCTTTGACTCTTTTTATTTTTTTAAGTTCATTTTATTTATTTATTTTTATGTGGTGCTGAAGATCAAATCCGTAGCACCTCCCTCACACATGCAAGGCAAGCCCTTTACCACTGAACCACAACCATAGCTTTTACTGTGTGTATATGTTAACATTTTGTTTAGGTGGTTGATTTCTAGATGAAATCGGAACTAATTTAGTGGAGACAAGATCACAATATTTTAAGTACTCAAATTTGATCAAGCACTATACAGATAGTTGGCCATGAATAAATTGTCTCACCACCACCCACCCTTTTTAGTTTTCCCAGAGGTTAAAAAAGAAAGACATTAACAGATGAAAAATGAAGTTTTTCTTTATTATGAAATTGTATACTCAAAGCATACATAAACCACAGATTGATTTTTATCCTACCTCCGATTTACATGTTATATGTGGAAGTTCACTCATTTTGTCAAGAAAACTCACAATGAAATTGAGATTCATATTTGGGTGGGGAGGTAGGGGAGAAGATAACGAAAAACATGTTTAGACCACACACATTTTTCTTTCATTCCAATGGTGTCACTTGGAACACAAATGGCAGGGAGTTCCACATCCAGTCACAGGCTACCAGGTGTTAATTCTGTGTGAATGGTATCACTACAAGATCAAAAAGGGCAGCACAAGGGAGGGAGGAAAGGGGTTTATATAAAATTATCTAAAACTCTGAAAAACTACAAAAGTATCTTAAGAAAAATATAATCAAAGTAAAAGCAATGGTATTTATTTCAGTGAAATTATTTTAAATTATATATGATATATTAAGCTCCTATATGTCCCAACTTGGTAGAAAAGTTCCTCTCAGTGAGAAATCAATTTTAATGGCAAAATTTTTACATATCAGTAAAATCTGTCATATTTAAAACTATGTATACAGTACATTTCTGGCAAAAACCTTATACATCTTTCATTCAAGACAAAGTAAAAATATGGTTGCATAAAATCACAAAAAATATAAATTGCTGAAAAGATAATAAAAAAAGATTTTAAAAAAGCATTTTCATTGACTTCCCTTACAACTTTAATATTAGTAAGAATCTGCAAACTACAATAAATTTGTGAAAATTCTGTTGTAACCTTGACACACTTAACCAAAAATTGTCTAAGCTTAAAAAACAATTTACCGCAATAATCTGCATTACCATACTACTTGTACAAGTGCAATATTTAAACATCTTCAAAATAAATCTCAATAAGTAAAATGAATCACAATAACTTAGAAGCAAAGTTCACAAAATTAACATTTTTTAGAAGGTCCTGTTTAATTGGTTCTTCCTTTTTTCTCTCCTCCTCACAAGAGTTTATAGAGTATTATTTAGTTCTATGTACAAATCTGTAACTTTAAAAATACAATATTCTGTTCTTAACATCAGTAATATAATGCTGCTTCCAGAGAGCCCAAGTAAATCGATATCCCCCAGAGGACTACATACAAGTTATAAATACAGTTTTGAACTCATATTTAAAAGGAACTTCAATTACTATATACATCTTTCAAACCCAAAGTTGAAATAAAACAAGCCCTGGACCCACCCCCCCAAAAAATCAAGATTTTTGTTTTCAATTCAGTGCATCAGTCTAGAGGTACTGGAGTCACCATTAACTAGAATAAACATTTATGCAAACTATCACAACATCTGATTACATTATTATCTGATAAGTGCTCACTGTATTTGCCAAAAACCATCCTAATACAAGGGGGTGGGGGGGAGCTCCCTTGCAATGATAAAATGCAGTGCTGGAAAGTGAACCCAGGGCCTGCACATGGCAGGCAAGCACTGTATCACTGAGTTACATTCCCAACCCCAATTTAAGTTAAAATAATATAATGCAAATATGGAGAATACAGTATTTTTTATTTTTTATCAGGATACACATGATACCGATTGTATCTGAAGTGACTTTTAATATCTGCATTTACACCTGGTATGTGATTCTTTACTAAGAAAAAAAATACATAAATCAGGGATCTTAGTAAGAGTAAACATTTTTAGACAGTTTCCATAATGCTAATTTTTAAAAAAGTAATAAAACCTGAAACAAACTTGACCATTTAGAAGCACTGATTTATTCCACATTTTAGAAATAATAATAATGTTATATCTGACTAAAGAGAGATAATGAAATGCAATGTGTAAGGTTTAACTGGATCCTGGTTTGAAACAACAAGCTATAAAAGAAATTTGGAGGACAGATGGGGCAGGAGAATAGCATTAGAAGATATTAGGGAATTATAAATTTTACAATGGATTTATAATTTTTTTTTTTTAAGGAGGATATCATTATGTTTTGGATATGCTTTAAGTATTCAGGGATAATAAACATCTATAGCATCCGAATGGTTAAGGAAAAAAAGCACAAAAATATATATGTATACCTATATGTTTATACATATATGAATATAAAGAAATCAAATATGGTAAAACATTAATTAATGAATCTAAGTAGTAGCTAAATGTGCTCACCAATATAGTCTTTCAACTTTTTCTTAAAACATGTTCAGAAAATAGTTTTAGGGCAAATCAGATCCAAGCATTTAAAGTCTGTAAGATGTATTCCTATGTCCTGAATCAATTTAAAAGATACACAATCAAATGATTAAAAATTTTTGCATACATTCAATACTGGCAGACATGATGAGCCAGAGTAAGTTGTGGAATTGGCAGAAACATGATTTATTTACAGTATATGCAACTAGCTCTTAAAGCAATACTTTATATACAAAGCATTAGGGGGACAAATTAACGATTAAACTTAGTGCCTAGAGTTTTTGAATATATAAATTTGTGTGTATTCGGACTTATCAAACTAAAGAAAACTCTCATTTGAATCTAATATCTGATATGACTTATAATATAGAATTTGAAGAGAGAGATACAGAAGAAGTTATCCAGACTATTTATACTATTTAAGAATTTGAGGATCCCAGAAAACAATATCACCTATAAAGTTCTATGGAAATGCTAGGCAATATGTGTTGAATAAATTTATGAAGTAACACATCAACATGTAAGGATATATGAAGGCCTTTATGGTAAATTAATATTCTACAAAGCCCTATATACACTACATATAAAATAGCCAAAAATCAAGTGAGCCTGAGAGCTATAATCCATTGTGTATGTATTATATAATGCTGCATACCCATTGAACAACAAACAACAAAATGATCTTAATTTATTTCTGCACATTAGGCTTTTGACTATTAATCATATTTCAATCCCTGTGCAAATTGCATTCCAAAAGGCCAATCCTTAGTTATAATTATATATATATGATATATATATATCATAATTAGTTACAATTATATATATATGATATATATATATAAAACTTGATTACAAATGGAAGCATTTAGCTATAATTTACTATGCATGCTTATTGCTATTAAAGAAATAAGCAAGGTTTTAGGCTTACTGTGCAAGAATTTTAATTAGATTTGCACACATTTCAAAAAATTCTATTGTGTGACTTCCAGGTCTTGGAGTTAACTCAACAGGAGACGAGTCAAGTGAGGTCACAGATGAGGTAAGAGAAACTTCTGAGGATTTTCCTTGAGCCTCAGCATCTGAGTCATTCCTTTGGCAGGATCGATAGTTGCTAATTGATCCCGATCTCTGTGGAGTAGCAGTACCTGATTTGGCTTCTGTAATTTCATCTAGGTAAAAAGAATTTCAATTTATTTTAATATATGACCTCCCCACAAGATTTTTTGAAATACTGAATTTGCTTCTTTAAATAAGAATATTGACCAGATATTCAAAACGTGTATTTTAAACACCTTCGAAAAATGAAGCAATATGCCTGGGTTGAACTAGTCATCTTTTTTTAAACATAATATCTATTCTCCTAATACAGCTACTCATCAGTTTTGCAATCAAAGGTTAAGAACCCAGTAAACTAATAACCTGGGGTTTAATAAATACCATTTTTAGCAATAAAAATTAATCCTTCTACATGAAAGTCATAGCATCGATTCTCTTGAAATATGGAATCATATTTCAAGTATAATGGGAATCATCTGATTCATACCTTATTTACTGATTTAAAAAAATACACCTAGATAAGTTGTTACTTGTCCAAGCAAAGAAATGAACAAAAATGTAAATTAGGTTTAAAACAGAAGTTTCCTCTAACTTCAGCTCAGTGCTTTTCACTCTCTACTTTCTCATCTGCCTCATTTAAAATCTTATAAGTGAACAACAATTCCAGTAAAAAAAAAAAGAAAGAAAAAATAGGGCTGGGGTTATAGCTAAGAAGTAGAGCACTTGCCGTGTATACATAAGGCACTGAGTTTGATCCTCAGCACAACATAAAAAATAAAGATTGTGTCCGTTTACAACTAAAAAAATTTTTTTTAAATTCAAAGAAAAACTATTGGAATCAAAATACAAAAATAGTAAATGGTCATTCGAATGTAAACTTAGGTACTAATAAATCTAGGCTTGCAAGTTTCACCCACGTGTAATAAAAATAAAACGTATTCTATATCTCAAATTGTACTACTATGTGCTAGCACACATTTGCTATCTGGATATACCCAGAAAATCAGGTTTAGCCAGCATATCATAATTCAAACCTGTGCCTTTCTGATACTGAATAGGTACTATTTTTGAGTTTATAAAGAAGAATTCATGGGTGAAATTTTTCTAATAATTCTATATAATCTTCCATAAACAAAACTTAACTCAATTGATCTGGTCAATGAAGAGTAATAGTCATATCAGGATGCAAAATCAACATAAAAAAAAATCAAAAGCTTTCCTATATAACAATGATGAATTAGCTGAAAAGTAAATCAGAAAAAAAAATCCCATTCAAAATAGACCTTAAAAATAAAATACCTAGGAATAAATCTAACCAAGGAGATAAAAGACCTCTACAGTGAAAAGTATAGAACACTAAGGAAAGAATTGAAGAAGACACCAGAAGATGAAAAGACTCCCATGTTCAAGCATAGGCAGAATTGATATTGTTAAAATGGCATATTACCAAAAACATATACAGATTCAATATAATCCCCATCAAAATACCAATGATATACTTTACATTACTAGAAAGAAAAGGAAAAAAAAAACCTGTCCATAATTCATTTGGAAGAATAAATGACCCAGAATAACCAAAGCAATTCTAATCTAAAAAATCCAGGCTGGAGGCATAACAATTCAAATTATACTCCGAAGCAACAAAATCTATATTTGTACAAAATCTAAATTTGTACAGATTTGTACAAAATCTATAACGTATTGATATAAAAAAAACAGAGACATAATATAGATCAATGGAACAGAACAGAATAAACAGGGACAAACCTACAGTAGTACAGTCATCTCATCCTTGACTAAGGTGCCAAAAACATGTTGAGAGAAAAGACAGCCTTTTTAACAAATAGTGGTAGGAGAACTAGTTATCCGTGTGTAAAAGAATGAGACTAGAACCTCATCTCTCACCCCGCAGAAAAGTCAATTCAAAATGATTTTGATATGAATCAAAGATCTAGGAGTTAGACCAGAAACTTTGTAACTTCTTGAAGAAAATGTAGTGTCAACACTCGAACACGTAGGCATAGGCAAGAACTTCCTCTATAGGCCTAAAGTTCAGGAAATGATACCAAGAATTAATAAATGGAATAGCATCAAATTAAAAAGCTGGGCTGGGGATGTGGCTCAAGCGGTAGCACGCTTGCCTGGCATGCATGAAGCCCAGGTTTGATCCTCAGCACCACATACAAACAAAGATGTTGTGTCTGCTGAAAACTAAAAAATAAATATTAAAATTGCTTAAAAAAAAAAAATGTTGTGTCTGCCGAAAACTAAAAAATAAATATTAAAAAAAATTTAAAAGTTTCTGTACAAATATGAAAACAATTCAAAATGTGAAGACAGAACTTATAGAATGGGGAAAATCTCTACCAGCTACTCTTCTGACAGAGGATTACTAGCTAAAATATATAAAGAACTAAAAACACTCAATTAAATAAATACCAAAATCAAGTGGACAAATAAGCAAACAGACACTTCTCAAAAGAAGTACAAATGGCCAACAACTATATGAAATAATGTTCAACATCTTTAGCAGTTAGGTAAATGCAAATCAAAACTACACTGAGATTTCATCTCCAGTCAAAATGGCAGCCATCAAAAATATAAATAATAGGGTGTGGAGAAAAAAGAACACTGTTACATTGTTGGTGGGATTGTAAATTAGTACAACTATGTAATCAGTTTGGAGGTTCCTCAAGAGACTAGAAATGGAACCATCTTATGACCCAGCTATACCACACATCAGTATTCAACCTAAAGCATTAAAGTCATCTTACTATAGCAATACATGCGTACCCATGTTTATAGCAGCACAATTCACAATAGCCAAACCATGGAATCAGCCTAGGTATCTACCAATAGACGAATGGATAAAGAAAATGTGGTACATGAACACAATGGAGTTTTATTCATCCATTAAGAAGAATGATATTATGTCACTTGCAGGAAAATGCATGGAACTTGAGAGCATTAAGTAAAATAAGCCAAACTGAGAAAGTCAAGTGTCATATGTTCTCTCACTTTGGAAACTAGAGAAGAAAACAGAAAATTCTAGGGGGAGGGGGTCAAGGGGAGACCAGTAGAAGAGGAAAAGAGATCAGGGAAAGGGAGAAGAGGGAAAGGGGAACTACTGGAGACTGACAGTGACCAAATTATGCTGTTATATCATGTGCATGTAAGAATATATAACAATGAATCCACTATAACATATAAAACCAGGCACCAATAAAAAAACATGGAAAAAAAGAATAGTTATAACCTTGTATTTAACTTTAAAACTATTGTATTTAACTTTAAAACTTTAAAAAGTAAATAAAAACTTAACAGAAATGTGAACATTTATTTTATTTTATAATATTTTATCTTACCAAAATGAATTACAAAAAAAAAAAAAACCACCAGAAATGTGGCAGGAAACTGTCTTTTTAGGATCAAACTCTATCTTGGCTTTAAGGATTTTATAAAACAAATTTAAAATGACAGTAGACTATAAGATTACAAGACTAAATAGATTCACAAATGTTATATCAAAAAGGAACAAAAAGTCACAATCCATATTCCTTTGATACTGAACTACTAGGAATAAGTGAACAAGCTTCAAAAGAATCAAAGACTAAAGTCAAATTACATAACAAGTTCTAATAAACCATCTGTTGTATTTTATGTGATGTACATACCATCAATACTACGGAAATCCAGTAAGTAAGTTCTACTATCCACTTGGTATAACTGTAGACTCATTTTGGAGTATGTGCTTGTCACAGGATTCTTCCTTCGTACTCGCAAATAATAAGGGTTTACAACCTGGCGTACGATATTGACAAAAACAAAACAAAACAAAAACACCAAATCAATTCTTCTATAACATTTTTTAGACTACAGGTTTGCCAAATGTGTTAATACTCAGAATGCTCTTTCTTACCTTCCATTCATAATCCAGTTGTTTAATTGCTCTACATACTTCTGCCATGATATCATTTGGCCTACTTTGACTTCTAATTCCCAAATGCCATTTTGCTTTCCTTACACCTTGGTGTTTGGATTTCTGTGGATTTAATTCATCCAGAGTATGTCGTGCCCTTGGTGTTTCAGCAACCAAGAATGGCACTCTTTCTGGATGGGGTCGAGTTAAATGGTGATCATCAAGAAAAGAATCAGGTGGGCTTGTTGCCAAGTAGAAATCTTTGGCTTCGTTCATTATTCTCCTATTATCTATGATAAGGTGGTAGGCAACGGCCAAAGGGTCCTGGTGATTTCTGTTATAAAGGCAGCTAAGAACCTCCTCTTCTGAGCATTCAAATTTTTCACACACTTCTTTTAAGGCTTCATCATCAATCATGGTTGAGCTATATGATGGATCCTCAGGGAAGAGATATTTTGGAAGGTCCTGTTTAAACCATTCATGCTCCCTAAGAAAAATGAAGGATTAAAAGGATTTTGAGTACAGCCAGGAATAAAATCAACATCTTTGAGGAATTTAAGACATACTGTATTATCACTATCATATATTTTTTTAGTTGTAGATGGACACAATGCCTTTATTTTTATGTGGTGCTGAGGATCAAACCCAGTGCCTCACACATGCCAGGCAAACACTCTCCCACTAAACCACAACCCTAGCACCTCACTATCATATTTTTAAAAAGAGATTTTCTTCTTCTACCTCACACTTTCTCATATATACTGAGGGAAATGTTCCAGACCCCCTCTGATTTTAAGGACCAATGTAGCAATGGGAAAAGAAATGTCTCCACTTACATTTCAAGTTTTAGAACAAATGATAATAATAAAACACAGCTTATCTCTAGTTAAAAAAAATGTTTTGTGGCTTCAATATAATAATTTCTTTTTGAAATTTTTTTTAGTTGTAGATGGACACAATGCCTTATATATATATATATATATATATTTTTTTTTTTTGGTGCTTTGGATTGAACCCAGTACCTCACATGTGCTAAGCAAGCATTTTACCACTGAGCTACAACCCCAGTCCATCATAATATTCTTTAGATACAATGTTAAATAAAAAGAATCTAATAACAAAAATAATAGATGACTCACTATTACTATATGCTAGGCTTTATGCCAAACAATTCATATATATAATCTCCTGTCAACACTAAACAACTCTCTGAAAAAAACATACTTTTGGTCTTAAATGAAGGAAATGAGATTCCAGAAGATCAAGGATCTTGCCAAGTCAGGATAGTAACAGGCAGAGTCAGGACTGCACCCAAGTTCCAGGTGACCCAAAAGGCCATATTCTAAAAGATGCCCTATCTGAATTCCCTAACTTCACACATAAAAGGATATATTTGAACCATGTCAAAAACTATACTAAAAAGGGGGAGAGGGGAACAACAGAGGAAAACACCCCAAAAAACAATGTTATCTTCTAGATGATGGAAATCAAAATAATCTTTATTCCCCTCTTTTTGTTATTTTTCTAAGTCTTTTAACAACTACATATTTTACATTTTAGTTGGGAAACAATACATAAAACACAAACAAATACATTTCTCGCTTAAGTATTTTAAAATACACATTTTAGGCCGGGCATGGTGGCACACACCTGTAATCCCAATGGCTCGGGAGGTTGAGGTAGGAGGATCCAGAGTTCAAAGCCAGCCTCAGCAAAATCGAGCAACTCAGTGAGACCCTGTCTCTAACTAAAACACAAAATAGGGCCGGGATGTGGCTCAGTGGTTGAGTGCCCCCACCACAAGTTCAATCCCCAGTACCAAAAAAAAAAAACAACAACAAAAAAACACATTTTAGAGAACGGCTTTTTCTTTCCCTCTGGTAGTAAAATCATACGCTAAATTCATGCTCTCTTCTTTAGCTCGTCTTTTGGCACATGGAGTATATGAAAGGAAATCAAGCTTCAAGTTCCATGCATACTCTTCACTTCTTAACCCTAACACTTTCTTATTTATAGTCCCAGATGTATATGATTTCTTTCTTCTTTCTCCTTACATGAGAGAAACGTATGAACTAACCATCAGAAAACCAAAAGAAAACTTCTAAGGAAAACAAAAACAAGGAGTCAAAATAAGAAAAGGAGGAAATAATGATGGCAAGAAAATGAAGTTAGCAGTGAATATTTTTAGTTATCATCAGAAATGGCTTGTCTAAATTTGAGAAGATCCATCATCATCATGTAAGCCTTATTTAAACTACAAGGTTAAAACATAAAAAATGAAACATTTCCTTTTATTTTTAAAAGAACAATTTCACATGAGTCAAGGTATCCTCCATGTAAAACATTATTAATTAAAACTTTCTCTTGAGATGAACAAAAGAAAAAACATAAATTACATGATGCCGGAACTCAAACAGTAACACAAATTCACTTTTAAAAAGTATTCATCCTGATGAGAATACATAAAAATGAAATTTGAGGAATACTATAGAAAATCCTAAAGAACCACTATAAAATTTAAGTAATATCCTACAGAGCTATATTAACGAAAACAACACAGTACTGGCACCAAAACAGACACGAGACAAACTCACATAAATACAGTTATCTCATACTAGACAAAGAAGCCGTAAACATACACTGGAAAAAAAGATAACCTCTTCAACAAACCGTGCATGGAAAACTGGAAATCCATATGTAGCAGAATGAAATTTATCCCCATCTCTCATCCTGCACAACACCCAACTCAAAGTGGATCAAAAACCTAGGCATTTGACCAGAGACCCCTGCACCTACTAGAAGAAATTGTAGGCCCAATTTTCCATCACGTCAGCTTAGGAACCAACTTCCTCAATAAGACTCCTCTAGTGCTAGAAGTAAAATCAAGAATCAATAAATGGGATGGCATCAAACTAAAAAGCTTCTTCACAGCAAAGTAAACAATCAAGAACATGAAGAGAGAACCTACAGAATAGGAGAAAATCTTTGCCACCTGCACCTCAGAGAATTAATCTTCAGGATATAAAAAGAACTCAAAAAACCGAACATTGATTATAATATATATAGTTTTTTAAAAAACACTGATTAAACAAATAACTCAATCAATAAATAGGCAAAGGAACTGAACCAGCACATCACAGAAGAAGAAATACAAATGGTCAACAAATATATGGAAAAATGTTCAACATCTCTAGCAATCAGAGAAATACAAATTAGAACTACATTCACTCCAGTCAGAATGGCAATTATAAAGAATACAAGCAACAATAAGTGTTGGTGAGGATGCAGGAAAAAGGTATACTCATACGTTGCTGGTGGGACTGCAAATTGGTGTAATCACTCTGGAAAGCAAAACTTGGAACGGAGCCACCATTTGACCCAGTTATCCCACTCCTCAGAATATACCCAAAGGACTTAAAATCAGCATACTCTACTGATGTATCCACATCAATGTTTATAGCAGCTCAATTCATAATAGCTAAGCTATGGAACCAAGCTAGGTGCCCTTCAACAGGGCATAAATGGATAAAGAAAATATGGCATATATGCACAACAGAATATTACTCAGCCACAAAAACAGAATGACTTTGTGACTTTTGTCAGTAAATAGATGGATCTGGAGACTTATTATGCTAAGCAAAATAAAGTCAATTCCCAAAAACCAAAGGTCAATGTTCTCTCTGATTATGTGAATGCTAACATACAAGACAGGGGAGGCAAAGAATAGAAGTTCAGTAGATTAGACAAAGGGGAATGAGGGAAGGGAGGAGAGAACAAGAATAAGAAATGAACAGAAATAAAGGAATGATTCTGAAATAAATTTCCTATGTACTTACACTAATTAGAATAAGATATACTCTGTGTTTGTATAAATATGTCAAAATATACTCTACTGTATAACTAATGTATAACTAAAAAGAAAAAAAATAATTAAAAATAAGAAGAAAATTAAAGTAATATCCCACCATGGTCCTGTCTACTCTTTGTTAAATTTTTTAATGTTTTGGGACTCGTGTGCAGTGCTGGGCTCAAACAGGGCCTCATGAATGCTTGGTAAGAGATTTACCATTGAGGTATAACCCCAGTCTATCATTAGCTTTTTTAAATTTAAAAAGTAATACAATCAGGGGCTGAGGTTGTGGCTCAGTGGTAGAACGCTTGCCTAGCACATTTTGAGGCACTACATTCAATCCTCAATTCCACATAAAATAAATTAAAAAAATAAAGTTATGAAAAAAAAAAGTAATACAATGAAATTGTAACAATTTCAATACAGAGACATATAAGTAAAAAATAAAATCTCTCCCTCCAACCAATTTAACTTCCCTAAGTATCAGTTCAGCATGTTTTTAATACCACAATGAAATAAATGTGTTTATACTATGTAATTTTTTTCGCATAAAAATGGATTACACTGTATATTCTATTCTACAACTTTTCCATTCACTTAATATAGATCATGGATATATTAGATCTGATATTTTCCAAAGTGCTTTCTTACCTGATATCTTTTATCGTGGCCCTCTTCATGGGATCCACCTGCAGCATATGTTTCAAAAGGCTAATCACAGAAGGATTTAAATACTGAGGAGTATAAAAAATCCCATCACATATCTTCTTAAAAAGAGTTGGCACATGATCATCATCAAATGGAAGGGTTCCACACAATAAAGCATAGAGAATGACCCCACTGCTCCATATGTCTACCTCTGGACCTGCATATAATCTGTAGTGGGAAATACCAATTGCATTAAATAATCATTAATGATGTCAGACTCAATCAAAAATTTTAAATATGGATACTTCATAAAGAATTATTATTTAAAATATTGGTTTTATAGCTACTGTTGCAAATCACCCATAAACTCAACCTCCCATAAAATCTTAATTCAATCAGAACTATCTTAAAAACAAGAGTGAAGTTTTATAAATCATAGATCACAGCTAAAATTCTGTTCTTACACCCTCAAAGAATCTCATCAATAGAGCCAAACCTTTTTTTTTTTTTAAAGAGAGAGTGAGAGAGGGGAGAGAGAGAGAATTTTTAATATTTATTTTTTAGTTCTCGGCGGACACAACATCTTTGTTGGTATGTGTTGCTGAGGATCAAACCCGGGCCGCACGTATGCCAGACGAGCGTGCTACCGCTTGAGCCACATCCCCAGCCCCTAGAACCAAACCTTGAACAAACAGATCACTATTGAATTTAAAACGTGGTTTTGTTACAAAGGAGATATTAAATTATTTAGTGATATACAGAACCCATTGCTTCCCAACATACTGGAACCCCTTACCAAAATAAAAGTGGCTGAGAAAGTAGCCAAACTAAGTGGTTCATAGAATATTTTAAATTCTTATTAAGGTACACTATAGACATCTGCCTTAACTAGTTGCAGACTAGTTAAATCATCCATTCAGACTACCTTCAAGAGGAAAAAAAAAATGATAAAATTAAATTGTTGAACTGTTCAATAAAGTAAAAGTTCTCATTCACTCAGACCTCAAATACTTCATCCAAACTAGGGAAATCAGATTTCAGTAATGGCAGTTGCACCATATGCATAATCATAACACATCTCATTTTTATTTATTTACACTCTACCCAGTTTCCAGGTCCTGAATTTTTCCTCTCAAAATAATTAAGATCAACAGACATAAATAAAATAGTAATTTAAAAAATAATTTTGGGGTGACTGGGGTTGTAGCTCAGTGGTAGAGTACTTGCTTCCCATGCATGAGGCACTGGGTTTGATGTTCAGCACTACATAAAAATAAATAGATAGATAGAGATGTTGTGTTCATCTACAACTAAATTTTTTTTTTTAATTTTTTTGACATTAAGTTAATAGAAAAGATAATGATGAAAGATGATAGATCTAAAATTAGGTATTCCTGCCTTATTCAAAGTTAAGCTTTTACACATATATCATTTCTTTGGGCAGCCTAGGAAAACAAACTTATGAAAACAAAAAAATTTTTGTATTCTGAGTTAAGATATGAAACATTCAAAAATGTGCTTTCAATGAAAAGTTATTAAAAGCTGTAATGGTTGGACTGGGGATGTGGCTCAAGCGGTAGCACGCTCGCCTGGCATGCGTGCGGCCCGGGTTCGATCCTCAGCACCACATATAAACAAAGATGTTGTGTCCGCTGAAAACTGAAAAAATAAATATTAAAAAAAAAGTTATAATGGTTAATTGTCAACTTAATTGGATTAACAGATGCCAGAGACTAAGAGGCTCCTGAGTGTGTCAAAGAATGAATGGCAAGTGGGACAGTAAATTGAAATAGAAACCCTCCCTAAGCATAGGCAGCACGGTCTAATAGGAAGGTGGCTTGGATGGAATAAAAGTTGGAAGAACAAGAAAGTAGCAGCAGATGCAAGCTTGATTCTTTTTGAATGGGTTTTGTTGTTGTTGTTGTTGTTTTAATTGTCAGTGGACCTTTATTTTTATTTATTTACATGTGGTGCTGACAACGGAACCCAGTGCCTCACACCTGCTAGGCAAGTACTCTACCACTGAGCCACAACCCCAGCCCTTGAATGGGTTCTTGATTGCTGCTACAGTTGCCAGAGGCTGTTAGACTTCTGCTCCATCACTCTCTCAATTCATACTCTGCCAGTGATTCTCTAGGGAGTTTCCAGAAGCCTTTGTCTGGGCCTACGGTCGCATCTTTGATCCCCCTTGTTCTGAGGCTTCAACCTCTTGGATGGCACAACTACTGGTTCCTCCAGCTCTCCAGCCTGCAGACAGCCATTGTAGACTATCCAGCTTCTGATTGTGCAAGCCAATCCAATAAATCTCACTTTTATAATCATATATCCTGTTAATTCTATTCCACTAGAGCATACAAAAGTTAATTATAAAATCTAGCAAACAAACTTATTTCTCTGTTTTTTTTCTTTCAGTAGTAAAACAGTTATTCCTTAAAAATTGTTTTCCAAGCTATTTTAAAAAGCTGTCCTGTGCAAATATCCTCATGTTCTCTATGCTGATGGTTAGCAGATTGAGAGGGCAGAATTCTTACAATACTACAATCTCTAAAACATATAAATAAAGAGAGCATAAACGAAGTCAGAGGATTTATTTTTTTAATGGGGCACTATAATTCAACGTAAGAGGAAAATTTATTTTGATATATCTGTACACGCACAAAACATAATTTGGTCAATTTCATTCTCCAGAACCTCCCTATTTTCTACTGCACTGCTTTTTGCTCATGATTGCTTTGGATTTTCTGGATTTTTTATTCTTCCAAGTGAATTTTAGGCCTGCTTTTCCTAGTTCTGTGAAGAATGGCATTGGTATCTCGGTGGAGATTATACTGAATCTGTATATCACTTGTAATATGGCCATTTTTAACAATATCAATTCTACCTATTATTGAACACACGAGGCCTTTTTATCACTTAGTGTCTTCTTCAATTTCTTTCTTCAGTGATCTATAATTTTCATGGTAGAGGTTTTTTACCTCCTTGGTTAGATTTATTTCCAGTTTTTCATTTATTTGTTTTGAGATTACTATGGATGAAATTGATGAAATTATTTTCCTTATATCTTTTTCACCAGATTCATTATTGATGTATCATTACTATATACTAATTTTGTATTCCGCTACTTTTCTTTTTTTGTTTTAATTAGTTACACATGACAGTACAATGACCTTGACATATCATACATTTGAATCAGATGGGATATAATTTCTCATTTTTCTGAGTGTACAGGTTGCAGAATGATATTGGTCATGCAGTTGTATTCCACTACTTTTCTAAATATGTTTACCAGACTCAGAAGTTTTCTAGTGGAGTTTTTTGGTTCTTCTAAGTATAGGAATATATCAATTGCCAACAGTGATAATTTGATTTCTTCCTCACCTATCTGTAGCCCTTTTATTTCCTTCCCTTGGCAATTGCTCTGGCTAAAATTTCAAGTACTATATTCATTTTTGAGGGAAAGCTTTCAGTTTTTCTTCATTCAGTATGATGTTGGCTTTGTGTTTATCAATAAATAGCCCTTGTGGCTTTGAGGTAAGTTCCTTCTGTCCCTAGATTCTTCAGTGTTTTTATCATGAATGGCTGCTATTATGGTTAAGATATGGTGTCCCCCAAAAGCACATGTGTGTGGCAGTGCAAGAATTTTCAGAGGTAAAATTTGACTATGAGGTATGACCTAATCAGTGGATTAATCCAGCAATGTGAACTATCGAGGTGGTAACTATGAGCAGGTAGGATGTGGCTGGAGGAGAAAGGTCACTGGGGTCACGCTTTTGGGTTTATATTTTGTCTCTCTGGTTATTAGCAGAGCTCTCTCTCTGCTTCCTTGTTGCCATGTAGTAAGCTGCTTTCCTCTGCCATACCATTCTGCTTCAACTTGGGCCTAGAACTATGGAGTCAGCCATCTCTGAATTGAGATCTCAGAAACCATGAGCCAAAAAAAATTTTCCTTCTCTTTTTTTTTTTCAATGTCCTGATTCAACTTTGATGTATAGATATGTTACCTATTTCATGTACATTTTCCAATTTATTGGAATATAAGTTTTCAAAATAGTCCTAATAACCCTCTGGATTTCCATCATGTCTGTGGTGATATATCTGGTTTTCATGAGATAATTTAATTTCACTAATTTGGGCCTTTTTTCTTACTTTTGGTTAGTTTAAGGGTTTATCAATCTTGTTTGTCTTTTTAAAGAATGAACTGTTACTTTCACTGATCCTTCATATTTTTTTATTCCCTATTTCATTAATTTCAGCTCTGAAAATATTTCCTTTCTTCTATTGATTTTAGAATTGGTTTGTTATTTTTCTAGGAATGTAGATGCATCACAAGGTTGTTTATGTAGGATCTTCTTTGATTTTTTTCATGTAAGCACCCATAGCTATAAGTTTTTCTCTTAGAATCACTCAGAATGTCCTAAAACTTCTGGTATGCTGCATTCAAATTCAATTCTCAAAATCTTTGAATATCTCCCCAATTTCTTCTATTCATCCTTCAAAAGTGTATTGCTCAGTCTCCATGAGTTTCTATAGTTTCTTTACTTTTTCTTGCTGTTGATTTCTAATTTCAATCCATTATGATTTAATAAGATTCAAGGAATTATATCTATTTTTTTGTTACTTGCTAACATTTGCTTTAAAGCCTAAAATGTGGTCTCTTTTGGAGAAAGTTCCAGGAGCAGCTGAGAAAGATATTCAGTTGTTGGGTGAAATAATTCATTTATTCTGTAAGTTCACCTGCTATATAGTATTTTACACATCTGAAGTGTCTTTGCTAATTTTAAATCAGAATGATCTGAGAGGTGTGTGTTGAAATCACCCAGTACTATTTATTGTACTGGGATCTATCTGAGCATTTATATCAAGTAGTGTTTATTTTATGTAATTAAGTGAACTGACATTTGGGGCTTACACATTTACTATCATTATATCTTTGTGCTGGATTGTTCCCATACCAGTATGTAGCAGTCTTCTTTTTCCCTTCTAATTCATTTTGGCTTGAAGTCTGCTTTGTCAGATATGAGAGTAGTTGCTACTGCTTGCTTTGAAGCTCCATTTGCAAGAAATATCATTTTCCATCTTTTCATTTCTGGCCTGTGGATCTCTTCACCTGAGAGGTCTATCTCTAGCAGGCAACACATAATTAGATCTTGTTTCAAATCCAATCTTCCAGTCTCTGTCTTTTAATTGGAGAGATAAGACCAAAATTTACATTCAATTTTATTACAGAAAGGTATTTATTATTTCCTACAACTTTCATTTATTTCTAATTGTTTAATCTAATCCTAATTCTCACATGCTAGTACTACTCTTCTAATATTTATTCTTCCCTAGGCGCTGTTGTTTTTTTTTATTGTTTTGTTTTTTATCTTCTTCATGTAGGATTTTTTAAAGTATATTCTGCTACATTGGCTTAGCAGTCCTGAATTCTTTCAGTTTATGATTACCTTGAAAGTTGTTTATTTCTTCTTTGATTCTGAAGGATAGCTTTGCTGGATATAGCAAACTTGGTTGAAGTTATTTTCTTTAAGGGCATAATGCATATCATTTCAAGCCCACCTGGATTCCAGAGTTTCTGCTTAGAAATTGAATGTTATTCCGACTGGTTTATCTCTAAATGTAAAATGATGTTTCTCTCTTGAGATTTTTAAAATTCTTATCCTTGTCCTGGATGTTAGACATTTTACTTATAAAGTATAGCAGAGAGTTTTGGTTTTGGTTTTGTCTATTTGGAGTTTTAAAGGTCTCCTATATCTTGGGAATTCATTTCATTTCCAAAATTTTAAAATGTTTCTGCTCTTGTTCCATTAAATGGGTTTATCTATGCCCTTAACCTGTATTTCTGGCTCCTGCCTCAATGCCAATTATTCTTAAGATTGTTCTCTTATATCAATCCCAGAGTTCTTTTTTATTCTTATTATAGATTCTTTCTTTCTTTTCTTTTTAATACCATCTGAATATTGGAGACTGGCAACCTTGCCTTTAAGATCTGAGATTCTGTCTTCTACTTGGCCTAATTCTTTGGAGGGACTTTCAACTTAATTTTTTATTTGATATTGAGTCTTTGGCTTCTAAGATTTTTATTTGACTCTTTTTCAGAATCTATTAAAATGCTCTTTAGTATCCTATAATTTCTCCCTCAGTTCATTCCTTAGATCTGTAAATTCATGAATCATTTTAACAACCAACTTTTTAATTTCTTTCTCGGATATTTTATTCATTTCAATTTCTGGATTCATTTGTTGGAAGATTATAAGTACATGGAGGCATCTTGTTTGCCTGCTTCACGATGTTTCTAAGGTCCTATATTGTACTTCTGTTGTGATAAATTCCATTTTCTCTTTTGTGGATTCTGTTTCCTTTTATAATGAGTAGTTATCTGTTCATAATAAGCCCTGGGCTGGGAGTTTATCTTAGCTTCAACACATAAAATCAGTATAATCAAAGTGCTAAGTTTTGGCCAGGTACAGTGGCATTTGCCTATAAGCCCAGCAGCTCAGGAGGCTGAGGCAGGAGGATCCTGAGTTCAAAGCCAGCCTCAGTAACTTAATGAGGCCCTAAGCAACTCATCAAGACTCTGTCTCTTAATAAAATATAAAAAAGGGCTGGGGATATAACTCCCTGGTTAAGCACTCCTGGATTCACTCTCTGGTACTAAAAAAAAAAGTGCTAAGTTTAACCACCCAGTACCCCTTTAAGAGGACAGTAACCACCAGTAGTAAAGATAATTTAAAAGCAAACCATATTAACTAAAGAAATGGAGTGAGAATTTGATGATTTTATAAATATTTCAGTCCAATTTCCCAAGAAACAGTTTCATTATGAAACCCAAATCTACTACAAAATACCATCTATTTGAAAAATTAAAGTACACATTACATTACACTTTCAATTCTTCATAGGTAAACCATAAACCAGTTCTAACTAGTGGGTATTTCTATATTACCCATGTTTTTCAGTGTCTTCACTACCTACACCTAAAACACATCAGCTTTAAATCTTCAATTTTTTCCACAAGGGAAAAAAAATTAAAGTACTCTCTTCTAAATGCTTTAACATAACATTAATTTTCAAGCCAACTTTGTACTCTATCTTAATCTTTTCCACTTATGTTTTATTCTTAAAAACAGAATACTTACAGATTAGAAATAAGCCTTATATTTCTTTCACTTATTAGAATTTAATGATACTGTATTTCTTTCCTTTCACTAGAATTAAATATGGCAAAATCTAGGAGAAAAAGTTAATTATTATAAATGTAATAGGAGTGGGATGGTATCAAATACTACCTTCCTGAAATTACTTCTGGTGCAGCATAGTTGGGTGAGCCACAACTTGTTCTTAAAAATTCACCATCTGACATCATGTTTGAAAGACCTGAAAGTGCACAAAAACAGCTAGTCAGGATTTCCTAAGGCCGAAAATAAAAACAAAAGCCCGTTAAACGCAATTGTTTTATTCCATGAATCATTTTCTGTGCTTCAACAAAATCATATCGTCTTTATTTCCAAATATTCTGCCACTGTGCCCTAAAATGTATAAGTTATTTCAACTTTTAAAGTTAGTGTATTGTTAGAGCTTAATGAGTATATATTAAACTACTGGTTATTCTGTTTACTACATTGAACTTGTCATATATAAGCTTTATTAATATAGAAGCTTCTAGGGAAAATAATCTCAAATAGATGAGTAGAATGACTAAAATCTAAAGTTTCTATTAACTCAATTCTGATCCATCAAAAACAAAAACATAGCCGGGCACAGTGGCACACGCCTGTAAACCAAGCAGCCAGCAGCTTGGGAAGCTGAGGTAGGATATCAAGTTCAAAGTTAGTCTCAGCAACAGCAAGATGCTAAGCTACTCATGAAGACTCTGTTTCTAAATAAAACACAAAATAGGCTGGGGATGTGTTTCAGTGGTTGAGTGCCCCTGAGTTCAATCTCCAGTACCAAAAAAAAAAAACAAATCCAGTAATTTTTAATCTGAATGTTTCCTCATACTTGTACTCCAAAAGTAAATCTTTATCTTCTCAGAAATGTACTCTATATAAAGATACTCATGACAGCTCAGGAACAAGTAATTTCAAAGGAAAAAAATAAAACAAAAAATGTAGCTCAGGATTGTTAGCACTGTTTAGTAAATCACCAATTACAATATATGCAAGAAAGCTGAGAAAAATATCTACAAGAATTTCTTCTGATTTGAATTATAGCCAACCAAAATAAGAGTTTCAAAGATTCATTTTTCTCTGAGGTTCAATAATGTTAGGGGCAATCTATATATGAAATAAAATTAAATTCATAAATTGGGGCTAGTGTTATGGCTCAGCGTAGAATGCTCGCTCATGATTGACCACTCGTCTAGCACATGAGAGGCACTGGGTTTGATCCTCAACACCACATACATACATACATACATACATAAATGTGTCCAACTACAACTTAAAAAAATACATCAAAATGTTTCTTAAGCAGATTTTCTTGCTGGGGATTGTGGCACATGCCTATGATCCTGGTGGCTCAGGAAGCCGAGGCAGGAGGATCTCAAGTTAACAGCCAGCCTCAGCAACTAAGTAAAGCTCTAAGCAACTTAGTGAGACAATGTCTCAGAATAAACAAAGTGGTTGAGCACCTCTGGGTTCAATTCCTGGTACCAAAAAAAAAAAAAAAAAAGAAATGAATTAGATTTTCTTATGTAGCTCACAGTCTTGCTTTCAATTTTTAAGGAATTCCATCCCACTCACTTTCCTTTCCATACTTGATCAAAAGAATATGCTGGAATAAGTTTGGTACTTTCTTTCATATGATCCATCTAATGCTGCCAACTTTAATTGTTTATCTACTATCATAAAATTCAATTTTAAAGAAATAAGTTTAAGAAATAGCAATAAAGCAGAGAAATATTCAACATTGATCCTAAAAAATGCTTTATTATTTCTTTAAAAACCCTTGATGAGTTGTTACTTTTATGCGATCAAATTTTATGCTTTTTCCGCAGCACCACCCACCAAAAATAATTTATGCTTTTTATCATTTAAATGTGATTCAACACATATAAAAATGCATAAAAATGAAGAAAGAATACCTTATTTTTTTCCTTTTTTCATGCTCATGCTTAGTGACAAAATGGGATACTTCTATTACATAAAAGCCATCTGAAGAATGCTACTTATCTTGTTAAACATAATGAACACATGAAACTGTAAAAATATCCTTACCAAAATCAGCTATCTTTGCATTCATGTGTGCATCAAGCAGGACATTTTCAGGTTTCAAATCTCTATGTACTACCATATGCCTGTGACAGTAATCCACACCAGAAAGGATTTGTTGGAACAGACGTCGACTTTCTTTTTCATCCAGCTAAGAAAAGCAGAGAAGTACAGGTGTGTCATTAAAAAACAAAACGAAGAAAAAACTCCTATCTATTATTCTTCAACTTATACAAACTGCCAAAATTCATGAAACCTTCCAGATGATCTTTGTTCATGAGATATTTTTGAAAAGGTAAGGAGATATATATGCCCAGCAAAACAAGAAATGTTAAGAGGATTTCTGGAACCCAAATCAGCAATTCAATTTTCTAATCCTATCATTTGCATATGAGTACATTTATCAGCTTGCAATCTCCTACATCTCATGACCTATTTCAAATAGTTTCAATTTCTAATTGAAACAAACTGGACATGTTTTTGCCTATAAATTAGAAACATTTAATCCTCCTTCCTTTTAACAAATATTTACTAAGCGCCTTCAATGTACTATATCATTTAATCATTGTTTATACAGCAATAGATAAAATAAAATCCCTAATCTAGTTGTCAAAAATAAGGCAACAAAAAAGTCAAGTAACATCAAGGAGTGACAGCACTCTGAAGAAAAATAAAGAGTAAGAGAAAGTGACGCTGGGAATGGGGGATACAACTTTATAAATAAGTAACATTTAAGCATTGTTAATGAATTAAAAAGCAGCCATATTATTATATATCCTGAAATTAAAAATGTTTTAATTATAACAAAAGAAAAATCTAAATTTGTCTCATAAATATAAAAGCATTTTTTAAAAATCAATGCTACAACTACTTTTGTAAAATTATTCTTAAAAATTTCTCTATTCAGGGCTGGGATGTGGCTCAAGTGGTAGCGTGCTCGCCTGGCATGCACGGGGTGCTGGGTTCGATCCTCAACACCACATAAAAATAAAAAATAAAGATATGTGTCCACCTAAAACTAGAAAATAAATATTAAAACAAAAAAATTTTCTCTATTCAGGACTGGAGTTGTGTCTTAGTTGTAGAACGTGTGCCTAACACATGTAAGGCACTGGGTTCAATCCTCAGCACCACATACTAAATAAAGTTATATAACTAAAATATTTTTTAAAACTTTCTCTATTCATATTTTCTTAAATTATGATGCTTTCTCAACATAGGTGATAACCATTACTTGCACATGCCTATTCCAAAGAAGTCATATTTTAAAAATAAGCTATTAATCTTCTAAGCAAAGAACTCTTACATGCAATGCTAACTCATGAATTAGCATTCTAAAATCAGAATTCCACAGCTTAACTGGCATGGATAATCTGAGAGAAAAGAAAAACTAGTAATTTCTTTTGAAAAATTAAAACTACTATTGAAGTGCTATATAATCCTTTGGGGAAAAAATACTAATATTTTAACAATTTAACACCTTTATTTTTTCAAATGAAAGTATGAGAGAAAAGGTATCTGTTCAAAATATGAAAATACAAAATATGAGACGTAAAATCAGTAGGTAGTTTACAAAAATAAAAAATACTACATTTTCAAAAACAGTATAAAAGAATGGAAGAGATTTTATGTAAAGGAAGATTAGAAAAGTGAAAGTATATTTCCAGTTCAACATCACAGACTACGTCTTTTACCTCCACTCCTTAAAATATCACTAAAATTACCTCAACAATAAAAATGGTATATAAAACATAAAGAAAAAGAGAAGAAATGGCAGTCATAAACAGGAATTCGTCAGTCATAAAGAGGAGTTATCACATTGGACAGTGGGTAAATGGTGATAAAGATTTAGCCAACAAGAAAAAGGTGAAACCTAAGCCTATGGGGGAGAACAAAATCATCAGCACACAGAATCCTGAAAAGGCTTAGAAAATGGAAGCATCACACACTTCTGAAGGCAGAAGTAAGAAGTGGGCTGAAAACAGGATAAATGATTGAGGTAAGGAGCCTTTAAATTCACCCCTATCAGGAAATAAGACCAATGGTTTACTCTAGTAAGACTGAATCAGTCTATCCTCAAGAACACCACACAGGAATGAGGCACTTTGAGGACACCATGTGGGTTAAGTGAAAGTCAACATATTAACTAGTGAAACTTTCCGCTTCCCCAATTAGCTCTGACAGCTCAACTAATACTTTCAAGAAAATTGGAAGTATCTTGTGCAGCAAATATCAGACCCAAGAAAAAATAGTTGTTATTACTGACATTGGTGTACACTAATAAAATGAATAGGTTCCTACCAATTCAACCTACAGGAAGGCCCACCAATCAGTTAAGACCTACCCCAATATGCTTGGTATTTAGTAGTTCACTCTTAAATGACAGTCAGGCCGTGAATGGATTAGTGGACAACTCTAAGAAGGGCCATGAACAAAAGATAGGCCATAAAATGAACAGAAAAAACTGATGAGCAAAAAGCACAGAAGGTACAGAAACAGTGCAAGGAATAGAAGACAACCATTTAAAAAAAAAAAAACTCTCATCCTCAACCAAGTAAGGTTACTACATCCATGGTGCAAAAAAATAGCAGACTTTCTAAAGAAAAGCTGATTTCAGAAAGCAAGATAAAACTCTGATATATCAAATATGAAAGCTGACATTTTAATATGCAAAAGGAAAAACTGAAAAACATCCCACAATGCAAAACACAATGGCCAAGAAATGAAAATGGAAGTAAAAAGATGAAGACATCAATTCAACTTGTGCCTGTTTCCAATTTTCTAGGCAGAGCTTTTCTGGGGGATGGGCAGAGAAACAGATAAAGGGAATACCTGAAATATAAATGAACCATGTTAAGAAACAGTAAACTAAAAATTAACTTGGTTATTGAGTTTGATTTTGATTAAAGTAAACATATGCTATACAAAATGAATGAATGAATGAATGAATGAATGAATGAATGAATGAATAATATATGTAAGTTTACACTGGGAATGTGAAAAATTGTTTTCTCAGTGCTAAGCACAGCTTTCACAAGGGGATTTTGTGTACCAGATAACCTGGGTATGAGAAAAAATATGGAGAGTGAGCAATGTTCAGTTTTTATATCTGTACTTATGGTACTGTTCATGATCCTTCCAGCTCTAAATTCTTTTAAGTCTAATTCCTACCTCCTTCATGGAGCCTGTTCTTACTACTCCAGGTACATCAGATTTCTGAAACCAAAAAATGAATGCAATTTAATGTGGCTAGGGTTGACTAGCAAGCCTAGATCTTTAAGTATTTAATAATATATTGTTAGGATTAATTATATCATTCAAGATACATATTTAAAGTATTTATGTATCCCAAAAGCATAAGTTCAAGGATTATGAGTTCTGGAGTCTTGATCCAACTCTGTCATTGATAAAGCATGTGAACTGGAGCAAATGTATACACTATGAGGCTCAATAGGCATATCTGTTAAGTAAGCTAAACAGGTTGTATAGTCTAACTGTAATCTATGATTCTAGACAAATATATAACTAATGGAACTGGTTATAAACTAGACCTCTTTAAACTTTTCTGACATTTGAGTGCCAGTAAGGGATAACGGGAGTTACAAAACATACAGGATTAAATCAGAACTGCTTACCCTTCCATTTTTACAGATATAATCAAATAGCTCTCCTCCTGAGACATATTCCATCACCATGAAAATATCAGATGGTGTACTGATGACCTGGTACCTGGTGAGAGAAAACATTATCTACTAATATTAAAACATGTATATTCATTCATTCAATAATATTTAGTACACCTATAATATACCAGGTACTATGCTAGGAGCTGGGAAAACTGCAGGGAACAGAACAAATTCTTTGCTCTTGTGATGTTCATAGTCCAGAAGAAAGGAAACAGACACTAAATAAATGAGCAGTATCTCAGGTGGCACAACATGCTATGAACAGAAATAAAGCAAAATCTACACAGAATGCTCAAGAAAGGCTTCTAATAAAAAAGTATTTGAGCAGAGCCTAGAGGAAGTAAAGGAACAAACTATGCCATTATCTGGGAGGAGGTGAACCAGGCAGAGGGAACAAAAAGTACAAAGGTCCCAGTAAGCCTGCTTGGCATGTTCAAGAAATGGGAAGGCGGCATAGGTAGAGTAACCTGGGAGAGAACTAGGATGTGAAGCAAAAGAATAACTACAGGCCAAAGGACACAGAACTTTACAAGCCATGAAAAGGCTTTGACTTTCACTTGAAGGAGGATGAAAAGGTATTGAAGATTTTTAAGTAATCTTATGATCTGGCATTTTAGGATAAGTGGCAGCAAGGTGAAGAAGTGAGTGTGGAGGCTAAAGGCTATTACAGTAGTCCATGAAACAGATGAAAGTGGTTCAGATCAGTTAGATGATGATAAGAACTGAGAAACAGATCAGAAAGATATTTTGAGGGAAAAGATGAAATGGATGGTAGAAACTGAGAGAAATAGGGAGGTTAAGGATGTTTCCTAAGTTTTTGTCCTGCAACTAACTATACTGCGATGGCAAAAACTGTGGGAAGAGCAGGTTTTAGAGGGTAACAAAGAGTTCAGATTTGACCATGCAGAGTTTGAAATGTCTTGTGGACATCCAAACACAGACTAAAAGTAAACAGTTCACACAGTAGTCCAGAGTTTGCAGAAGAGGTTTCAAAGAAGGAAATGTGCATTTAGGGTCACCAGCATGTGGGTGATATTTGAAACCACTTTAACACATGAAAAGAGTTAGTGAAACAAATTTCAGTTTCAGCCACTTCAACAAATACATCTGAACACATTTCAATTGTAGCCTATGTAATAAAGGAGGAGCTGAGCAATAAATAGGTTATTTGCAAACCCAGTACAGTAAGATAATGGCTTTTTGAAATATTAGATTTCTGAAATTTTGATATTCATATGATCAAATATAAGAATATGGGGAAAACCCCTTCCTAGTGTATTACCTCTAGTAAGGCTAATTGATAATATATGGAAATTTGGAGGCTGAGATTTTTACATCAAATCAACTGTTGGTTCCATAACAAAGAAGTACTAAACATTATCTATTAGAAGGGCATCTATCTGTTCAGAAGACAGGAAAGAATGAGGACAACAGTACCATGTACAAGGTTAAAACATGAAGACAGGCATAACTGACAATGAATGAAGTTAGATAAATACATGAACAAGAAGAAATTTTTCAGGAAACAGGATGAAATGTCAGTCATCTTTCTCAAAGTGATGAAAAGATGAATGGACTACATTTAATATAAATAGAGCTTACAGCTTAATTATATGAGGATGCCTGAAAAGCTTGAGGTTTTGAATTTCTCTGCGGATCTTTCCCACCACATCCAGGCTTCGAATCTTCTGTCGATTGAGTATCTTCACAGCAACTTTATGCCCAGTCAATTCATGTTTACCAACTGTAAGAGAAATAATTTTAATAAATTAGTGCCACTCTTGATTAATAATATATATTTAGATATTCTAAGAATAATCTTAGCATTCTCAGAATATACTTGAGCAGATTTAAATATTTTTTTCTCTTCTACCTAATTTTACTACTAAAGGTTTAGATGTTTATGAGTGATTCAGGGGGCTGGGGTTGTGGCTCAGTGGTAGAGCGCTTGCCTCGCATGTGTGAGGCCCTGGATTTGATTCTCAGCACCACATAAAAATAAATAAATATAATAAAAGTATAAAAATGCTTTTAAAAAAAGTGATTCAATAGGAAAACAAATAGTAGTTTCTCTGAGATAATAAAGCTGGAAAACCAAGAGGATGGAAAAAGACTTCCTTTTTGCTGTATGCTTGTGTCCTTTTAAATTCTTTTTTCTTTTTTTTTTAAACTATCATACATATTAATTTGAACCTTTTATCTTTTGGTGTACAGTTCTATGAATTTTAACACATGTAAAAACTGGTGTAACCACCATACTAATCATATGATACAGAACAGTTACATTATCCCCCCTAAAAACTTCCTCATGGCATAGCCGTATTTTCCCTATCGGTAGCTTCTTGATACTTTTCAATCTTTTTTCAT